GGTTACCATGCACTAATATTTTATTTAATTTATACAATAAAAAAATAAAGATATGTTTTGCCCCAACTATAGCTACATTTTAGAAATGCAACATTCTTGTTCAGGTAATAGTAAAAGATGCTATTGGCTGACTTTGAGAGTCTTTGATGCAAAGATTGTTATTTCCCTAGACTGCTCTTCATTGTCATGGGAATTTTGGAAGCTATGACAGGACAGATGTTTCCCAGCCTTCCCTTTTGTTCTCACTCCTCGTGGGAATAACTGTCCTGATGCAACCCTGTGTGAGATTATACTACAAACATTACAGCTTAGCACAGGCCAAGTTAAAAAATCCTTGCTCAGAAGTGTTTCGGGAGTGCTTTCAACTGGGTTTGATAGCTCTTTGGGTGCTGCTGTCCAGAAGTCAGCAGCGTCCCCAGAACAAAGGCCAGAAGTAGAGTGCATGACAAAGAAAAAACTGACAACTGCTGAACTCTCATCTCCCAAAATTATAGCCCTTTGCATAGTTCTCTAATTGCTGTGCTGACACAGTCAGTGCTTAAAAAACTGCAACAGTGTTCCTTGTCTGCCAAGGTACAATGGTAACACAGAGTTCAATCTTGGTGTAACGAACAAGGTTGAAGCTAATTCTAAAATACTGAAAAAAATAATGTTTGACACCCTTTCACCAAAGGTATTTTTGGACTATCGAAAAACACTAAGTTTGTTAGTCATGATAACCCTGCTGGAGCTTAAGTGGTGATCATTGTGATTTTTCTGGATTGGAGTGGAAGCCCAGTAAATTCAGTGATGTGAGACAGGGCTGAAACTAGAATAAAATTTAGTTTATGATTAAGCCACAAAACTACCCTTTAATAAGCATTGCCATGTCATTATATTAAGGCTATGTCTGTTAGAGGAGGTACTATTCCATACTGCCATGGAATGTGATTAGATTCACAAAGATTTATACGCTTCTGGAGTTGTGTGAATCAAGAAAGGAATGAAGGGTATTTCTTGTGCTAAAAGACTAGCCTGGAACTCAGGGGTTTAGACTTTACCTTAGATTCACTGGGCCATTTAGGATTGGCTTTTCAAAGTTGCTATATATCCAGTGTTTACTGACTGTAACTGTAATTGTGATCATGGAAGCTCTGAAAATTAGTCTTTTAAACTCACAGGATAACACAGTACTACAAATTACAGGCTACCCGATTATTCTAGGAGCACATTAGTTAAAATTTTTCTTGATTCCTCTTGCAAGTACAGTACTTTTATTAGTTTGTTTTCCAGTTATCTTTTGTATTGTCTTCATTTCTCTATCTCAGTGTACTTTCAATGCTCTTTGGATCTCAGCACTTATTAAAGAGTTCAGCCTAATACCTGCAAAGTTTACAGTCCTCGAGTTGTTCATACATCCTTTATTGCTTTGTTGTGGAATTATTGAAGTCTTTCCAGCAGAGAAAAGTAAATACTTCTTGGAAACCTTGAAATGCCCATGTGCCTTATGCCTAGTATATAAAGGGCAGATTAATTCCAAGCTATAAAAATAAACAGCTCTCTTTGTTCTTAAGAGGATTTGGATTGAGTGGAGTGGCTTTATAAGTATATGATTGCTTAGTATTGAAGTTTGGAAACAAAACAGAAAACGTATTATCCATTCATGGTTAAAAATTACCAGCTTTGGTATTTTCAACTTAGCTATTCCTTGAGCTTCTTATTCAGTCTTCCTGCTTGAGGTCTGTGCACTTCACACGCTTGGATTTTTTTTAACTAACACAGATGAACTCCAAAATCAAATCCACCATGAGGAGAAGGAAGCAAGGCAGTGAGGGAAATTCATATATCTAACTGAAAAGCCCATGGGATTATTCCAAAAAGCATGAATAATTACAACACAGCAGCCTCTAGCTCCTTCCAAACCTTGCTCCCTTCCACAGTGCTGTGGTTAGCAGTGCCCACCCTTCTGCTGGGGAATTCTGTGATGTCATTTTCACATGGTCTTACAAAACAGAACCAGAAACAAACAAAACCTCCAAACAAACAAAAAACCAACCAACCAAAAAAACAACCACCCCCCCCCC